AGGATATTCTTATTCGGCCTGGGCCTCTCCTTCCGGTGATCTTACCCTGTATTAAGAGGAATAGAAGGTTATACCTCATTGGATGTCTCATTACATGACCGAAATATTGTAACTTTCAAATTTTTATCGTTTTTGTTATTTCTGTGCTCGTTTTCATTCGATGTAAAACTATTTCATTTCTTATTCGATCAAGTCAACTTATCCGCAATACTCGTCGATAAATCCACATCTCTAATTTTTTCATTAATGTCTCTGTTTGGGTCCAGCTCTCTATACCACACAGCAATGTGGAGAATATTTAGCAGCGTATTAATCTTATTTTAATGTTTAACGTAATATCTCTATTAATTAGAATTTTCTTTAATATATAGAAGGCAGCTCTGGCTTTTTCAATGCGTATTCTTATTTCTTTATTTATATCCCAGTTATCGTTAACGTTATCACCCAAATAGGTAATATTGTGAACTCTTTTTAACTCTCCATAAGGAAACTAAGTTCCTGTATCTAGCTGTATACATTTGATAAGAATAATCTTATTTTCAAATGTTTTGTTAAAACTTTGACTTTTCTCATCTTTTTTTCTAAAACTTGTGTTTTTTAACCTGTTTTTCGAATACTTTTTACCATTTTAATTTGAACTAATTTGCACTATAATTCAAAAATAGGGCGGCGAATACCAGGCGACTCACACCACATAGGAAATTTCGGTCTAGGTAACAAAAACACCAAAGGAGAGACATTAGCAAATTACGTAAACACCGAAAAAATGATTTGCCTGAACATGTTCTATAAAAAACAAATACAAAGAAAGTGGACATGGCGTAGCCCTGACAATCAGGTTAAGAATGAAATAGATTTTATCCTTTTCAGTGATAGATCAATATGTATATATATATATATATATATATATATATATATATATTCCAGCGTTTTCTGTCGAAGCAATCTTCAGTTGTTAGATCTCCGGCGGTCATTGCATCGTCGACATCGTCTCTCCAAGATCGTCTTGGTCTACCTCTTGGTTTTCTTCTAGTTGGCGGAATACATTCTTCTATTTTTTTTGGCCATCTGTTTTCCGGCATTCTCTGAAGGTGTCCATACCAGTTAAGTCTTTTGACTTTGATTGTGTCTATTATGTCTAGATCGATTTCCATTTCTCTCCGAATATCTTCGTTTCTATCGACTATCTTAATTTTTGATTTGTTTCTTTGGTTTATTTCCCAGAGTTCGGCGCCGTACAGTCCAATACTTTCTATTATTGTTTTATAAATAATTCTTCTTTTATTTTCTTTTGTTATTTTTTTATTCCATAATAGTCCGTGTAGCTGTCTAGTGGCTGATCTTGCTTGGCCAATCCTGGAATATATTTCTTCGCTACTTCCTGCTTTTGATGTTATTTGGACTCCCAAGTACTTAAAATTGTCTGTTGGTTTTATAGTTCCATTTCCATTTGTAGGCTTTCTGGTTTTTCTCCTACAACTAAGTACTCAGTTTTTTGTATATTAATTGTGAGGCCCCATTTGGTGTACTCATCTTCCAGTTTTCTAACCATGTAGCTTATATCACTCTCGTCTTCAGCTAGAATGGCTTGGTCGTCAGCGAAATGTATTGTGTACAATCTATCATCTCCGATTGGGATGCCCATATTGCAGCACTTTCTTCTCCACAGTGAGAGTGCCTCACTGTGGAGAAGAAAGTATATGTAAAAACATATTGATCTATCACATATGAAATTATCAACTTTTTTATTACGTTGCTGAGGTCCACCACACGAACAGAAGTGTCATTATTCGTTTGTGGTTAAAATTTCCAGAAACTGGTAATATTTCTGAACGTGATACAGGCCGTACAAAGATAACCAACCAGGTTAAAGACTGTTTTATGAAGTTGCAAGCTTTGAGAGATCGCACTGCGACTGCATCCCAATTGGAAATGAAATTGCAAAATTTCCATCAGTTGTGTGTAAGTAGACAAACCATTAGAAATAGACTGCATAAAGCAGAGTTAAATGTTCGAAGACCTGCGAGAGTGATTGTATTATCCAGAGAAATCCAAAATCTAGAGAAAGACCTTTATTTGTCCAGATAAGTTCTGATTTGAATTTGCACCAGATACAAGACGGATAAGAATTTGGAAATGGTCTGGCATCTGGCAATGCTGAACGATTAGCCACCGTGTAGAAAATTTATAGACAGCTTGGTGGCAGTATATTAGTATAGGGTGGCATCACTTTTGGTGGAAGAACCTATCTTGTTTATCTGGAACGGTTATTAAATGCAACAAACTAACGCGATAATATTCTCGAACCTGTTTTACCCTTTGTACCCTATGAACAAACAATATAACCTAACAAATGTAGGACAATTAATAACAACCGTGAGGGGCATATACTACAATAACTTAAGCTTCGTGCCGATATACGTATTAACGTAAAGAGAGAAAGACGAAAACTACTAACAACAAAACCTTTACCGATTGCAGACATCCTAGCCAGTCATAAAGAGAAATACCAAGAGGAATTAGCACGGAAACTAGTAGCAAATACCATTAAGCACAAAATATATAGATACCAACAAAACATCTTAAATGTGGGCTCAGAGGATTTCTCTAAAATAATAACATCAGAAATTAGAGCCGCCCTAAAACAAATGAAAAATGGAAAAAAAAAGAAAGAAACCAGGAGAGGACAAAATTACTTCGGATTTATTAAAAATGGGAGGCACTGCATTAGAAGAGGCAATGGGGGCATTACTGAATAAATGCCTATTGGAAGGGCAAATACCAAAAGCATGGAAGAATGCGGAAGTCATTCTACTCCATAAAAAAGGGACCGCGCAAATGTAGAAAACTACCGACCTATAAGCTGATTGCCACACCTTTACAAACTACTAACCCGACTAATAACAAATAGATTGAGAGCTAAGCTAGATGCAAACCAATCAGTGGAGCAAGCAGGCTTTCGTAAGGGTTTTAGCACTATCGATTACTTGCAAACAATCCGGACATTTATTAAAAAAACAATAGAGTACAACATAAAACTACATCTGACATTTGTCGATTATTACAAAGCATTGCATGAGTGCTTTTGGTAAGTTGAGCTTCATTTTAAAAGACAGAAAAATCCAAATATACTTAAAACGAAAAAACCTGACACTTGTATACTACCAGTTGCAACTTATGGATTGGAAACTATGGCAACAACAAGAAAAATGGCAGAACAATTAAGAGTAACTCAACGGGCCATGGAGAAGACCATGTTAAATATAAGCCTAAGAGACAAAATCCCTAACACCAAAATACGTCGAAGAACTAAAGTAACCGACATCATGGGAAAATAGCGACATTGAGATGGCAATGGGTGGCACACGTAGCAAGACAAGACACCAACAGATGGTCTCATAAAGTGACATTATGGAGACCTCGAGAGATAAAAAGAAGCGTGGCAAGACCCAGAGATGGATAGACGATATACCAGCTGCAGCTGAAAAGCAGTGGATGAGAATTACAAAAGATAGGGAAGCGTGGAAGCAATTGGAGGGGGCCTATGTCCAGCAATGGATAAATGAAGGCTGGAGAAGAAAAAGAATTTGAACTAAATTCTACGGAGTATTAGTAAATGTTTAAAAGCTTAAAAAGTGATATTTATTAGTAAATCGTTTTGTGTACATAAATGAAATTATTTTAAACTTGTCTTCCATAGGTTGTTAACATATTATAAACATACTTCTCAACAAAGAAAATAAGCCCAAGATTATTAAGATAAAAGTCAAATTATCTGGAACGACCTTAGGAATTAGCTCATTTGTCAAAAGTTAAATTTCGCAAAAACTATTGAACCGATGTAGCCTATCTTTTGCACATAATTCAAACAGGATAAAACTCTTAAGTTCATGTATATTAAAACAAATTTCAATAAATATTGTAAAAGTTATTAACAATATTCAAAAACAGCGATGTTATTGTTCATTTTGGCAAAACTTTTTTGTTTACAACGGATTTTAATTTAGCATAAGTATCTCATTTTGTGTATCTTTTTTTTTCAAAAAAGTTCTTTGTTGACGTAAAGTCCCTAAATACATAGACAAGTTTTTAAATTACAAGCAAAATATTGAAATTAATGTTTTAATTGTTCATTTAAAAATATTTTCACTAAAACGTTGATGAATCCATAGATGAGAGTCTTTTTGTAAAATCTCCAAGAGAAAGAATTGGAAATATTAGAAACATATAATAGTGATCAAAATTTAAGAAAAAGAATTTTAGAGATTAGAAACATGATTGATTACTGTGGACTATGGTTTTTATTTCATGAAAATGAAAAATCGAAAAATTCACAAAAAGAATTGAAAACTGACAGTCATATCGCTGGAATAAAACTATCTAGTGTAGAGAAAATATTCGATTTGGTATTAAAAGTATAAAAACATTATTAAATAATAACTATATAAAAATAAGGAAGAGAAGATAACGAAAAAAAAACCATATAAGGAATAAAGTTTTTAGCTGAAGAAAAATGGAAAAATTTGTAAATGTGGAACACCAATTTCAATCTTATTTAGGAAATTTTTAACACATTAAGAAAATTATAAAATATATTTTTTTTAAATACAGATTATTCTATTAATAACAAGTAATGACCAATTTTATAAAAAATCCCCAATTGACCTTAAGCCAGCCACTAATATACAAACAATTAAATTTCCGAACCCACATCACCGACTTTCGGACCGTCAAACCCCACCCCATAATGTTCGCAAATACAAAAAACGCGGAGGGTGTGGCTTCCGCACACCCTTCGCATATATCGTCCAATGAAATGTCGAGTTTTCGACTAAGTCAAAAGGGGTTCATTCATACAGGCACTGCAAACGATCCCCTAAGCTTTAAAGTCTTCTAGGGATTAGCATGGACTTCAAACAGTGGTTGGTTGTGGAGTTAGAAGTTAGTTTTCGTAGAGTGGTGTGTAGGTGTATGAGTTTTTAAAAAATATATTATAGAAGATGATCAGTTCTAGCGGACAAAGTTGTGAGTTGATGAATTTAGATTCGCATATGCATATGAAACCTCAGTCGCCTAGTTCTTCTAGTAAGTAATCCCTTATAGTCATTATGTTTTTATATATCAAAGACTATATATATATATATATATATATATATATATATTATATACTATATATATATATATATATATGTATTCCTACTTAATAAAAGTAACTATTACCTAGTACATACTCAACATCTAATTCTTTATGATTACAGATTATGATGTGCTTACTGTAAGATTATTGTCCGTAGAAAGGTTAATTTAAATTTGCAGATAAAATTATTGGGTTTTACCATTTTTTAAAATACCTAATTTTGTAATCCGAATTAACTTATTGGTTTTATTATTTGATACTCTTAAACAGCTAATTTTTTTATGTGATTAACATGAATATTGTGAAATTAAAATTTTATTTAATATTGCAATTGAGAAAATACTAGGATGGTGAATTATATAAAGAGATCGTTTCGAGTGATCTACGCTCGTGCATAATATAATATAGACGTCATCTACATGCAATTCGTAATATTTACTGATTTTTTTATAGTTTTCCGAATCAAGTTTCATGAAGTTGTACCAAAATAGATTTGCGGCCTATATTTTGAGTATCTTGTTTAAATTACTGAAAGCCTTCTGAGCTTTTTATTTTCTATTACGCTTTCTGGTCCTCCCTGCATATTTTTCTAAAGATAATAAGATTTACCCTTTGCATTTTGTATTCCATGGTATCTTATTTCTCTTTTAAAACTATTCGAAATTCGTCTATAATCTATAATTTACTGCTAATAGGTTCTATTATCATTCCGAATGATATATAAAGAAGTTTACTTCTATAATTACTTGTATTTGTGATGTTACTTTGAGCTGTTAGTTTAACTCTGTTCAATTTTTTTATTGAAAAACAATAACTTATCTGTATAGTTCAACTGTTTCAAAATATGCATGTGAATTTGATATGTAGACTACTATTACTAATAATCCAGTGGTCAGAGAGTTGACCCCTGAAAACCATACGGAAGCTCTTTACCTATTTACCTTTAAAACGCCTCTTGATTGACATACTTTTCTTGTGTTTGATTGATTCGTAGTTAATCATCCTATCTGATAGAAGTGTTAAAATTTCTAAAAGTAAAAAATACTCAGAAATATCTAGCAAAAATAATATACTAAAGAGGGCTGAAAGATGCGGTTAAACTAAAACTCATCAAGATGAAGACGATAGAGAAATCAGGTGGTAAACAATAAAACAAAAAACACTCAAGCATTTCAAGAAACATAAGGAACGAAAACAAAAAACAGAAATGTTAAAAAAAATATGGTTCACCTAAGTTTGTCAAAACTTTTTGATTCCTTATTTCTTCTGTATATTTTGCATTTGACTTAGCCTTGGTTTTCCGTACTTTCGGCGATCTGAAGTAATCTACGCTGGATCTATATGGTACTACAGGACTGTATATGGAATAGGAGCCAAAACCCAATAATTTGTAAAATAAATTAAAAAAAATTACTAGGAGACTCTTACAAAAAGCTTTGAGTTTGTCTTCTATGATTAACAATAACCAAAATATAGATATTTATAAGACAACGGTGGAATGAGATGAAAGAACCGGTAGAAATCACAAGTGAGACCTTTCTTTTTATAAATATGTTCAAAACGGAATTATAAATGGTCTTATCGGAAACGCTAAACATAACAATAGGTAAAAAACAGAGATATTAGAATAAGACATTAAAAACTAAAAAATGTGCAAAATGTGCTACAATATAAAGCTAGAGTAATATATGATCCAAAATATGAAACTCTTCTTAAACAATAAAAAGGACTAATATATCTACTCATAGCAAAATTTCTGACGAATTGAGAAAAACAATACCTTTGATGTGTTTAAAAAGAAAATAACAAAGACCGTAATAGCTACCGAAGAATAACTTAATTAAACATCAATCGAAAAATACCAATAAGAAAAGTAATATGGAAATAAAATGCTCGATTTCAAAAAAAGGTAAAACACAGAGCCCTGCAGTGGTATGGGCATCTACAAATAATGCTAGCGCACAGGTGGTCAAAAAGAATATTGAACTGCAACACGCCGGAAAGAAGACAGAGAGGAAGACCTGCTATATGATGGTAAACGTCCATAAAAAATGCTATGATAAATAGATACACCAGAGAAGGTGACTTTGAGAACAGATGCTGTGGAGGACAAAAACGGCAAACTCATAATGGAAAAAAGCCGAAAAATTATAAAAAGAAAAGTAATAAACAAGAATGACGAGAAACCAGCATTACAAGGGCAGCAATAATTTAGAACAGGACAATCGTACACAGTTGCAGTATTATTGCAATACGAATGAAGGAGAAATCACAAAAAGAATTTAAAAACGTGAAATACAAGCTGTCATAAACTTCTATAGACAGAAAATTACCTGTAGACATGATAAAAGCATACATGTTTGCTCGGATAGGGGTTCAAATGAATAGCCAATTTTATTCAAAAAATGATTTAATAATTTTCTATATAATTTAAAAAACATTTGATATAAGTTATAATGAAAGTAAAATAAAACAAATAATATACAATGAAGATTACTAAACTAAAAATTTATTGCGTCAATGATGTAATAATTATTATAGCAGGAAATGATAATAAACTTAAGGTAATACTTCACTAACGTATACAGTAAATTACAGCTATCTCAAAAGAGCCTGTTCAATAAAGGGATGCTTAAAACTTCAAGTGAAGAAATTCATAAATACCTCCAACTGAACAAGAAATACAAATACAAATATTTAGCATTTGGCAAGGTTCAATATTAAAACTTTGTAGATTTATTAAAAAGCAAAAATATTGTAGTGATATGAAAAATTATATCTAATCTATACTTTAGTAAAACTGTCAAAGGTAGGAGAAGAGTCCGTCAAGGTAAAATGATGTCCCCACTACTCTTCAGTGTCTACAGTAAAGCAGTAATTAAAGAAGCACTCTTAGATTTAATAGAGGGTTTATCCATCAATCGAGAAATTTTTAATTTCTGACGTTTTGCAGACGATACACTAATAATGACGAGTAACAGCAATGATTTACAGAACGTAATGCCGACGCCGACATGAATACGGAGTGAATATTAATTAGAAGAAAACTAAATGCGTGATCATGATTAAATCAGCAAACATCCAACTTATTATTAAAGAAACTGTAATTGAAAGCATTGATAGCTACAAAAACTTGGAAACCTGTAAAACATTAAATGTAGACCAAACAAAAAAATCAAGACACGTATTGAAATTGAAATACCTAGCCTTTTATTAAAGTCAGAGCTACGACTAAGGATTCTTCAGTGTTACGTGTTTTCTAGTCTTCTTTATGACTTGGGAGCGTGGACACTAAAACAAGTGCATATAAATACGTTAATTGCCTTTGAATATTAGTGTTATAAAAGAATACTCTGAATCTCTCTCTTCAATCCTGACCCCCCAGGGGGAGTGTAGTGGTCGACGTGATGTCGTGTATTGTCCGTCTCCAGAGATCTCTGTCTCTAGTCATTTCTTTTAATTCATGCATAGATCTTTGGCATATTCCTGTAATTTGATCTATCCATCTTGTTGGGAATCTTCCTCGTGATCTTCGGCCTTCTACCTTTCCTTGTATTATGAGTCTTTCCATGTTTTCTGTGTTTGCTCTCATAACATGCCCAAAATATTTTAATTGTTGGAGATGGACTTTACTAGAGAGTCGTTGGTTAACTTTTAGCTCTCTTAAAATTGAATTATTTGTTCTACGGTCGGTCCAAGCAATCGTAACATTGGTCTCCAACAGAACATTTCAGTGGCGTCTATCTTTCTTCTCTCCGATTGTCTCAGAGTCCAAGATTCACATCCGTAGGTCAGTATTGGGAATATTAAGCAGTTGATTAACCTCATCTTTATTGCTCTTGAAATTTGACAGTCCTTCCATATTTTGGTCATTTTTGCTGTGGCAACTTTTGCTCTGAATCATCACATACTCTGAACATCATGGATTTAAAGAGCGACAAATGTGGAAGTAACTAAAAGAATAGGAAATGAAACTATATTTATACATTAGTTAACTACAAAAAATGTTTATTAAAAATTTTAATAATAAAATGTATCAAAGTACCTGCTTTATGAAGACAACATTCTCTTTTTACGCTGACCCTGGCTATTTATTATTATTTATTGCATACCTAATAAAGGCATTTTTAAACTATCTTTCCTAAGAAATATATGGTTGGAGCGAATTTACCTTTTCTTTAAGGTCTTAAAATTTGACCACTGGAGCAAACTAGTATACCCATGCCCCCTTGCAGGATAATTAACAGAAAATTAAAGAATACAACATAAAATGAAGATTCAAAGCACATATGCAAAATTTAGCTAATTAAGAAAAAAACCACGTAAAAAAGATGTAATTAACATATCGCAATGCAGAAAGCAGAGTAGTAAACCATATTACTGTCAAATAATCTTTAAAAACGAAAACTATTTCGACGAATAACCAAAAAATATGTTCATGCAGAAAAATAAGTAGAGAGAGGAAATTTAATTGTGATTTCACTGGTGATCGGAATAAAAATAATGGGCATCAGGAAGGCTACTTGTTTTGTATCTATTTGATGTTAAGGTTTCTTTTTGTTCATTTTCTTTAAAAATATTTTGTCTTTTTTTTTATTTCTATGCTTATTTTTATTCTTATCAGTACAGGTAAATCATTGTAATACAGGTAATTACTCATATTTTGTATTGATCTTTGAACGTTGATTTCCCTTCAAGTGAATAAGCAGAAATTTTAAAAAATTAATATTTATGAGTTCAGCTGATAAGACCTAAATTGAATTAATGTTATATCAATAATGTATTAATGTCATTGTATGTAATTTTTATGTCATGTAGTTAATGTCATTTTCAACATAAAAACATAAAATTAATATTTTAACCTACATAAATAGTTAAATTTTAAATAGAAGATGAATACTAGTGATTTAATGGAACCCCATTCTTTTGACATTGGTTTTTTTCTGGA